ATTTCTAGCTCCAATAAAATTTCGGGTTAAAACTATCAATTTAGATAAATATGTGGGAATATGGCATTGAAATACAATGAGTTAAAGTGAAAAAAGAATATTTTTCTCACATGGACACAAACGAAGGACGATATTTTTGTTAGCAGTTTGGTACAGATGAGTATTAAGAAAAAAAAAGTATTATGTTATTTTGAAATTTGGATATTGTATTAATGAAAATATTTGCAAGTGAATCGAAAAGTTATTTGATGTTTATTTCAATTTGACTTCAATCACCAACTTCTTTCTCATTTAAATTTCTTAATTAAGTACAATAAAATCAACATGATAATCATATCATAATATCTATATTTGATAGTGATAGTAATAGTAGTTTGTATTATGATTCTTAAAATAATTAATTTGTCCAAATATGTAGCAAATTTGGTGTTAAAAGGTTGATTGAAGTCTATATAGGAAAATCAAAATTTTCAAAATATACTATATATATATATATATATATATATATATTGTGTAATATTTTACAATTTATTATTTCATTGACTACTATAATGGCAAAAATTTATTCAAGTAGTGATGCAAAGAAATCTATTTCTTTTCAATTATACCACTATAGGTGATTATGTGTTCCTTGCATGTATAATATGTTACAGATTGACTTGGCAATATATGTTGAAATTATTTCCAAAAAATTAAAATATAAATATTATTTTTTTATTTTTGAGATATCAATGTAAGTTTATTATTAGAACAACTTAAAATTTTACTTATCACAAAACACTAATAATTTTTAGATTGTTTCAAATGTCAAACATGTTCAATTTACTCTTGCAAGAAGTTAAATCATTACAAGATTATCTTTCGAAACTTTGATATTGAACTTTCATTTAATATTTCTTATACATAATTTAACTACAATTATAAGCACTAATATATGATTTCAGCAATATTTGTCTTTTTTTCCATCAAATATGTTTTTTGCTAATTTAATGATAGAATAGAATTATAAACATATAAAATCACTTATTAAATAAACTTACATGCTATATAAGAAAATTGTATAGAAATATCATATAAATAAATATATATATATATATATATATATATAGATACATATTAAAATATTTTGTGTGGAATTAAAATTTTAATCTATTTAAAATTATATATTCATGAAATTTTTGATAGTTTAAATGATCAATTTGTAAATAAAATCTCAACCAATCTAAATCTAAAAAAAATAAAACTATGTTCTTTCATGCTTATTATTATTATTATTATTATTTTCTTCCCTATTTAAAATTGTTTGAGATTTGCCAACTCAACTAGATTTAAAGAATGAAATTTAATTCTATTAATCAACTAGTTTTAAACCCTTTTCGATCTTTAATTGAGATCTAACTTTAGTAATAATCTACTAAAAACACCATGTTACTTTCCCAAAAACTTTTAAATTTTTTAATTCTGTATATATATATATATATATATATATATATTTATTTATTTATTTTACAATGTTTGTTCTTCTTCATTTTCTCACCATATCCTACTTTCGACACCCATGTTTCTTATTTTCAACTAGGTCCAGTCCATTCCCTTCATCCTCGAGCTCAGACCCAGTTCTGCAGACCGTATTGTTACACAGTTGGCCATGAATTGCAGCATAGAACCAGCTGTGCCAACCTGTAACTTCTTTTTATACTAAACGAGTCCAGCACCAAGTGTTGCAAAAAGAATCTAAAACTAATCCTTAAGCTTCTTCTGCTGATGCATCGATGAACGAGTGTTGACTAAAGGCTCTTCGGACCTGATGCATCACAAATATATATATATATATATATATATATATATATTGACATATACATACATTCCCCAGTTTAATGTTGATCATTTTGAAATGAGTTTCTGATTCATCACTCTCTAAATAAAAAACGAGTGGTCCATTCGCCATGCTCAAATCCTTCCGCTTGCCGCCGGAAGAGACTCTGAGGCAAATCTGGTGGCTTTGGTGGTTTCTGACACCGGCGACCCCTCACTTTGCCGAAGCTGCAGCACAGAAAGATTGACTGCATTGTGGCCCACTGTTTGAAGCTCCAATCGTGTGTTGTCATCCAAGTTCTGGTAAATCGTTTTTTTTTACTGCTACCTAATCAGATGCTCCCCCTTCTAGAAGCCCCGGGAAACTTATCTTGCTAACGTCGAAGGCATGTGCAACAACCACACTTGGTGTCTGATCTGACTACTAGCCTGGCGATCGAGACGAAGCAAGAGTGGATCTATTGATCGATCCATCAATCCTTTCAGGTTTCGGACCATAGGACTTGATGCAAGAAGCGGGAGCTGTGTTCGTGGTAAGACATCCACGACCTATTCAGAGATGGGGTCCTGGTCGTGGAATCGAGATCCTGGTGCACTTCGGAGCACTTCGCAAGCTGCTGAAGTGGCGTCGAGAGATTGATCCATGTTGGCTTTCGAACGGGTTTGGTAGCACTTGGATGGACAGATGGGGAGAGTGGGGTTGATGATGCACCAGCGTCGATCGAGGACCGGAAGATTGAATCTGCGAGGAGGAAACTCTCTTTCTGAGTTTTTGGGCTACGAGATGAAAACACTCCATCGTTGAAAATAATCGTTTCTAGGGATGATTCAACAAAAAAGTGACAAGCAGTAACCATGGTCCTCATGTCCGTTCCTACTTTAAATCACTGTAAATCGTCGTTTATCATATCATGATTCACTCCAACTGACTAACTGCCTGTTTATGTACCTTTTCATGTAGGCATTGTTTTAAACGTGATGAATCTTACAGAACTGTAAGCCTTGTGATGCATCATATAATGACATTGTCACGAAGCATTGCCAAGAAAAATATGTGTCCGTAGCGAATAAGCATCTGGAAAAAGAAAATCAACGAGGTGATTTATTATGAAAATGTAGGACTTTATTTGCACAATTATAAATAAATCTATGTAAAAACGCAAAACAGAGTGCAATCTACCAACGCATGTTCGAATAGAAGAATGTTGCAACATTTTCATAAGCCTCAAGTCATAAGCATATCACTGTTTGTGTTACTTAAATTGGATATGCTGTGACACCAATCTGTTCCTTTAAAAAAACCAACCCATTGCTGTGATCTACCGTACCATTGAGCATCATGCAGGAGTTTGAAATAATAACCCCTATTATTATAGACAAAATTACCACATGGGGAACCCAGGTTTCGGAACGAATATTCCAAGTACTTTATTTCGGTGTAGAAAAAAGAGATTCTTAAATTATCTGGGTCCCAAGGCATGACGATCTCGCGGCAATACATCGATCCCAGTTCTTCAAGTTTAATTTCTACCTCTCCCGGCATTGTGGTTCGGAGAGTGTGATTCTATTTGGAAAGAAAAATAATATAACAATAATAAGAAAAGTTTTATCCACTCTATGTGGCAATTAAATCTGGTTCTAGTTGTTCCTGTGCACTGGGAATATCGATGATGTTCAATGAGAGAATGGTTGTTTGACGCAGTTCTATTTATTGCTGTCAATCAATAGGGCACCGTGACCATCTAGAATGAGTTCCCATGACTGACCTTCATAGGGTAGCCGCGACGCATTTATTGAGCTCCTACGCTGCGGTATTGAGCTCACTGTCGCCGATCAAGGAGTTTGGTTGTCATGACGCGGCTTTGTATCCAAAACATCGATGTTTCGAAGAAACAAGAGGTGGTGTGCATGGAGGAGTGGTTGCACCAGAACCCCCCATCTCGCCTGCTTTGCTGAACCGCAACTAGGGCGCTGCACATGCCCGGAGTGGGGAAAATTCAAGACCCTGGAGCTCACATGACGCTGCTGAAATCCAGCTGCCGAGCACTCTCTTCGGTGGTCGTAACATACTGCAAGGACTTAAAAGGAAAGTCTGTCAATGAGGAGGGCGGATGGAGGTCGAGATTAGAGGCGCAGTCAACGAGCCCCGAAATAAGGAGAACGTGGAGTTTATTTCCACTTGCATCCAAGTCAAACAGATCTAATTTTCTTAAAAATAGGTTTTTAAGGTCGAGGTACTTTCAAGCGGGGACCGTACATTGGGTTCGTACGTTAGATTTTTGCTGTGGTGTTCGGGTGATTCACATCAGCTGTACGACAGTGAGTGTTTAGTTGGGGAAAGCTTGCTCAAAGAGTGGGTGAGATGATTGGATGAGTGAGTAAGTTGAGGTAACCTCGGTAGAATTTAGATTCTACCACCTCCTTGAGTAGAATCTAGTCGTGTCGCGTCATTCCTCGGCGAGGGATGAATTTCGGTATCTCTGAAGCACTTGCCACCCTCATCACTTCAAAACCTCTAGGAATCCAGAAACATCATCATGGTCAATGCTCAATGCAAACAGTGCTTTAACCAAGGCAAGAGAAGATTTTGACACCAAGCATAAAAGTACATCGATCGTACCAATCAGGTCCGTAGGAACTACTGCAAGTTCGGAGCTTCAGTTGGGGGGCTCGGTTGGATAAAATGTTGCACCAGGAAATAAGGCAATCAATCCACCATGGGAATCTCCTGAACCACCTTGAGTTTCTCACCTGAATGGACAAGATCACACAATGCGTGTATGTAGGTCCAGGATAGGGTTTGTTCTTCAAGCGTGCTGTAAATGCGAACATAACTGGTAACTTTGCAATGTAAGCGCTTCTCATTAAGCCCTTCAGAATTTGGACTTCCTAGCTCCAAGGATTCTCTCCGGTTTTTCTGGCAACCTGGCACCAGGTGGAATAAATATAACTCGAAACAGCCAGGGTTTCTTAATATGAAGTTGTGTGGAGGAAACAGCACAGGAGAAGAGCCGATCGCACCGCCATCCCAAGCGGTCTCACAAGGCGCCAATGAGGATGTTTTAACCTACTTTTCCACTTCGAACCCCAACCGCGTGCACTCTTTCCATTTTTAACCCACTAGATGCTCACTTCCTGAGCGGTTCTCCTCACGCGGTTGGCAACGCACGTCTGATAAATGCCGGCTTGCTCACACGATATTGTCTAAGACTTGCCGGCCCTGGCCCTAACCACTTCTCTAGAGAGGTAGTGACCGCACTGTGATCTTCCTTTGGTAGGTTATGCGCCTAGCTAGGACTAAGCATTTCTTCAAGGATCGTTGCATTTCTGCAGCGTTTCTGGACTGGGAACTGCAAGCATTGTGATTAGATCATTGTCATTGTATCAGTTGTTGCAAGAGCCTCGTCATTTTGTACATTTGCTGCTTCAGGAATTTGGTGATCCCTTGGTTATAACCGAGCAAGCATTTGTTTGATTCCAGTAGTGCGATTCTGTTTTAAACCTGCTGAATCTCGAGTTTTCAGGATGTCAAATGACGATGAGAAACCCATGGTCGGGTCATACCGACCTAAGAGCCGTCGCTGTTGTGTTGTGTCTGTTTTAAGTGTATCCTTAGTTCTCATTCTCGTCCTCTGCATCGCAATTCCCCTAGGAGTAAAAAATTCGAAAAATGATGACGGCGATAATGGCGTGAATGTTGCTTGCCAAGCGACGGAGTACCCTGAGGCTTGTAGGGAATCCGTTGCAGGGTCCGATGGCACTCCCGTTGGAATGTCGAGGTCATCGGTTAAATCTTCCACTGACGAACTCAGTTACCTTCAAGCTAATACGACTGACGAGCAATGCAAGGAGATTCTCGCTGACGGAGTTGCTGCTTTTCAGCGGGTGCTTGTCGCGCTGGAAACCACAAATCACACACTGGTTGAGGAGACTTGCGCGGATGTTCAAACAGACTTGAGTGCGGTGCTGACGTATGTGGATACTTGCAAGGAAATGATGCAGGAGTCTGGTTCGGCCGAGTTTCACTCATTCGTGCAACGGGCTTTAAAATCAGAGCAGTTTACTGGCAACTCGCTTGCGTTGATCAACGGTATATGTCTGTATGGTGGGAATCTGAAAAACTGGGCGGGAAAGAATTTTGGTGTGAGCATGCCAGATCTCGATCAATTTTACGGTGGCGGGCCAAGCCGTCGTCTTATGAACGCAGATCCCTATAACGATGAGGGTGAGGAAATCCAACTTCCGAGCTGGATGGACAGCGCCACTAGCAGGCACCTCCTCACACGTCCTGCTTCTTACAATGTGATTGTGGCTAAGGATGGATCTGGAAAGTATAGGACGGTTGGAGAAGCTATCATGAAGGCGCCGAAGACTGGGGATAAGTATGCGAAGCGGTATGTTATCTATGTGAAGGCGGGAGTTTACGACGAGCAGATCATCATCCCTAAGAAGCTCACCAACTTGATGATCATCGGAGACGGCATCGACAAGACCATCTTCACTGGGAGTAGGAACGTCGCGCTGATGAAGGGAATGACTACATACTTGTCTGGAACTATGAGTAAGTCCCGTCAGCCCTAATGTTACAGTAATAATTCGACTAATCGTATTCTTTTAAAGGATTGTGCATGATGTAACGTCTGATCATATTCAAGTCTCGCCAAGATTAAAAATTGTTTCCATATTGGCACGTAGTTGTGCAAGGAGATGGGTTCGTCGGAAGGTTGTTCACCTGCCGAAATACTGCCGGAGCCAGTGGACACCAGGCTGTAGCGACGCGTGTGACCGCAGACAAGGTCGCCTTCCACCGGGTAAAATTCGACGGATTCCAAGACACCCTCTACTGCCACGCATTACGTCAATTCTATCGCGATTGCGTTGTCATTGGCACGGTCGACTTCATTTTCGGGAACGCGAATGCTGTTTTCCAGAACTGCCAGATCATTGCGAGGAAGACTACGTTGCGGGGCCAGCAAAACACATACACGGCCCAGGGAAGAGTCAACAAGTACCAGAACACTGGCCTTGCATTCCAGGACTGCAATTTTGACGGCACGGCCGATTTGAAGCGCAATGTGCAGTACTATCCGACGTACCTCGGCCGCCCCTGGAAGGCTTACTCCGTCTGTGTCCTCCTGAGACCCACTATTCAGGCACACTTGGATCCTGCCGGATGGCTCCCATGGAATACCACCAACTTCGGCCTGTACACTTCCTTCTTTGCTGAGTACAAGGGCAAGGGCCCGGGATCGAACAGGCGCTCTAGGGTGAAGTGGTCACACGAAATCAAGAACCCCAGAGTCGCGAACAGGTACCAGGCAGCTAGTTTCATCAATGGCAAGAGTTGGATCACAAATATCGGCATGCCCTACACACTTCAACCTGTGTAAACCTGGGCGCCTGTTCTAGCTGTTTCATTATTTGGAATGCTTCTGATTAGAGAGATCCGTTCGAGTTAGACTGTAAATCGATGGCCCCTACTGCCAAGAAAGAAAGCGTGGATCAAACCCATGATGGTAGATCCGGAAAATAAACTGTCGGTTTGTTAACCGAACGGAGTCCTCTGCAAAGTCGAGGTTACTTCCCATTGTTTGCAAAACGCTCAAGATTTTAGTACCCATTCTTTGAGGCACCAGAATGGTCCCTCCGTTTTATTGTTACATCTCTTTCGCATCGCTGGACCTATTCAGAATTCAGTGCTTGTTACCACACTACATGCATGCACCTTGCTGCATACTTACTCCCCCCATTTATTTGAACCGTCTTTTACTGTGGCTTATGTCTTCAGAATCGGAATCGTAATCAAGGGAATCTAATCACAACTACGAAGAGAAGCATCTCTATGTGAAACCAAATGAATAGTGAAACATATATACCAATATACCATGTGATTCGAGATTTTGGCTAAAGAATGTATGAATGAAATGTATACATTATGCAATTACATATCATGTCTGCGTATCTCTGATCAGTCCGCAAATAATGATATCAACCAGCGATTAATAGTCTGACTAGCCGAACCTGAACGAAAGTAAATGCATGATATAGATGGGTGCAGACTTTCCAATTTCCCTTTGCTAGCATTCAATTTCCATGCATCCTGCTTTGCACATTCCAATCTCTCTTCAACAATGTTCTTACTCCAGGTTCCCACCAAGAGGACGTTACACTCAGACTTGATCACCTCCGCAGTGAACTGAACTAGACCTAACATGAGCCTATCTGGAACACACTCCAGGAGTTTATCAAACCCTTCTTTGCAATACAGAAAGTTGCAAAAGCATGGTCTAGTTTGATTCGCCCTCCTTCATCTCGGAATCTGCAATACTTAAATGTGAGACGCACATCTGTTGCAAAGTTGTCCACTTTGTGTTTCGGTCAACAGTTTTGTCACATGAAGTAGCTATAATACTAAAGTTGTTATCCAATATATGCACCACACTTTTCCATCGAGTTCTTTCTCTGCAATGAAGTCAATTTTTAGGTTGTAGATTGCAACATGCCCTCTCACCTCCAAATTAAATAAGGCTTCATTCAATGCATTTTAAACTTTTGTGGTCTCAATAACCCAAAAAAGATATTTCAAATTAGGAACTATGTTAAGTTTACTGATCCATTTTTTGATATGGTTTTGTTATTAAAACTTAAATTGATGGTATAAATCTAAGAAGATTTGGACTCATAATATAAAATGAAACATGTTATATTTTAGAATCAACACATGATTATATTAAAAAGTAAGATGGAGAATGTAATAGAGGAATAATCATTATTAGAAAATAGAGTATTATGAGTAACTTTCAGCAACATATCCATAAATGTTTTTGAAGTTGTTGACATATATGTTGCAAAATAAACCAATGAAAAATTAATAATTGATGTAATGTAAGAAGTATTAGTGTATAAGATTAAATATATGTTTGGAGGAATTTTAAATATATAAATAAGTAAATAAATAAATAGAAGATAGATCATCTAATTATAATAAGAGAGCATTATTAGTATAAAGTAATACTTAAGAAGGCGTACGAAGTCATTTTAGACTTAGAGACTTCTTTTTTATCTAATATTATAAAATTTTCATAGAATGATAAGAAGAATGGTATTTAGATTTTGCACTACTCAATAGTATTTATATGAAATATTCATCATTCTACACCAAGTATATTTAAGGATATAGAATCTTTCAATAGTATTTATATGAAATATTCATCATTCTACACCAAGTATATTTAAGGATATAGAATTGAAGATGATATGCTTATTTTTGTCGACTATCTATAAAAAATTGGTATTTAAAATTTTACCAAATCTTTGACCTTGTTTTGGATATAAATTCAATAAAAGATATGTCAAAGAGAAGAAAATGTAGCAAGTTAATAAATAAATATAAGAGAAAAATTACACAATCTGTTTTATAGTAAATTTAAAATAAATTTTGTGTTCCTATAAACATTTTGATAAAGAGCAAGCTAGATTGACCAAAACAAAAGAACTAAAATGGAATAATGTACTAAAAACTATGGAAAATAGATTGCATAGAATGCCAAATAAAATAGAAAAACAAGTTAAAAGAACAATAAGAACATGTTTTTTACCTAGTATATAGGAAAAAAGATGTAGAAGAATAATAATAATAATAATAAAAAGTAAATAGACTATGAAATGAGACATGTGTTTTAAGATTTTTACTTTAATTAAAAAAAAAAAAAAAAAAAAAAAAAACGAAGAAAGATAGCTAAATCTAAAGCAATCTTAAATCTTTAAAATAGTCAAATCAAAGCTATTTAAACTTAGTATAAAATAAATTATCATAAATTTTCAAAAAAATATATTTTAAAAAATCTAATAAAGAAATTAGATTTTTATATAGGTGCTTCTTGCAATAGAAGGATTTATATAATGTTATAAAATATTTTAATCATTAATAAAGCTCTGAGAATAAATGGAATATGTATTAAAAGTTTAAATTCTCATTAAAAAATTATTAAAGAAAATATTATCTACTTATTTTAATTTATCTTAAAAGATGTTTTTTTTAATGGATAAAGAATTAGTAGAAAATCACATACTTATAAATTTACTATATTCAACATATGAACTAGATGCAAAGATGTAAGATAAATAATATTTCTTACTTAGTTTATATATATATATATATATATATATTTAGATGATTTATGATAGAATTATAAATAATAATTAAATTTTCTAATAAATTCTTATGTAATAATAAAATAATTTTATGTTTAGTACCATAAGAAGTTATTAAAGCATATTTATAACTAGTTTATTCTTTAATGACTAAAACATTACTACTTTTAATGCTTCTCAATCCTAATGTTACATGCATTTGAAGTTCAATATACCTATCAATTTCTCAATTTTGATCTACTTTTTTACTTATAACTTTTTAATAATTTTAAAAAAAAATTATTTAGCTTAATCTTGTAAAATTTTATTTTTATTTTTAAAAATTCAATGTGTTAATTAATTTTTTTAAAAATCTATTTTATAACTTTAACTGTAGAAAAAAGGAGAAATCTTAAACATAGCAAATATTATTACTTAGCAAATAAAAATAAATGAATAAAAAATATATAAAAATGGATAGAAAGAATTCAAGAACTTACAACTAGACATTTTGTAACTATTGTTTTAACTTATTTTATCTGTGTTTATGGAATAGATTTAATTATTTCAAAAAATCTCTAGTCATTCTCATTGCCATTCTCTGTTTTGATTTGCAATGGGCTCCTCTGGGCACCCATAAAGCATTGTCCCGTTTTATTGACAACATCAAACATCCATTTGTCAAAATCGCTTTAGCCCCATTTTGTTGATGTTTGGCAGTGCCAATGCAATAAGTTGGTGCAGCCAAACTGCCGAGAACTACCAAGGTCTTGAGCTCTTTGTACGCCTGATCCAAGTTGGCATTCACAAGAATGTGATCAAATAGAGTAGTATCCTTGGCAGTCTCAAGCTCTGGCTTTGCATTTCTGAGCCGTTTCTGTATCTGTTCTTCCGCCTCCGTGGCTCTTTCACAAACCCGAACATGTCCGGAAAATGTTTCATCAACTTCCCATTCAGAGTGCACTTGTCGACTCCAGATGGCCCACATCTAACTACGGGCCATGCACAGCTGCACCACCTTCGTACCTATGATGCCAAACAATCACAGCGCTAGCCCTGCTGTTTTGAAGTAGACTATCTGTGCCCACGCTAACTCTTGCTTCACTGGATCATCAAGCCTTCGAGAAAGTTCAAATACAGATCGGGGGCGACTCATTGTCATCCTTCTTTTTAGCCTCTTCTCCTTTGAGACGACGACCAACAGAGGGAAGACTGCACGCCACTCCAGTTAGAAGCAGCCCCAAAGGCTTTTGATATCAGTTGCGCACGGGCCATGGATTTGATGCTGACACGGTTTACGAGCACTAGTCTGCCAAAGAAGATCCCAACAATCCAGATCGACATCATCAAACCCCGGTATGGCCATATAAATCGGAAAGATACATCAACCTCTAGACAGTTCTTCGTTTTCAGCTCCCGCACCACTAATCACCATCCTCCTCTCAGCCTCGCACCTCCTCACGCCTGGTCTTGCAACATCTTGATGAGTTGTTGGCAAGGCAACCATCGGGGTAAAACGAGGCGGTGAAATAGAGAGGTGGTGCAGACTGCACGACTCTGTCACCTCCACCACGGACATCCTCGTCAGATCCATCCTATCCCGTGTGGTTTCTACTTTTTGTCGTCAAATAAAGGCTCCAATCACACCATGAAAATTGGCGCAAATTGTATACAAATTGCAGCGACGGCAGCAGAGAGCCAACAAGCCGGATTGAAGAACCCTAATTTGTGCGCATGATTGGTAGACACGAGGGGGAGGAGTTGCATACATGGCACTGGAGCTCAATCCGAAGCTTCGCCGTCCGGCATTATCCACCTTGAGAGAAGGAACAGACTGCTAGTAGGTAGCATTTCCAGTCGTTTAGAATAAGCCTTGTCGTCTCTGTCCTTGGTTGAAGTAATAAGTCAAGATTGAGGAATTCCTAAAAGCTAATTCTAATTAAACCTTTAAGAAATAAAAAAATGAAATAAAATAAAAATAAAATCCAGAGAAATCACAAAAAAAATATTAAAGAAATTGTAAAGAAATTTTAAATAAATTCTAATTGAATCTTAACCAAATCCTAATAAAAATCTAATTAAATCTTAAATAAACACCATAGCAGATTTTAAACTTCAATAATTGTTATATTAATCATTAATATTAATTCAAATATTCTATTTTATTTAGTTTACTAATTAAAAATAAATGTACAAAGATTCAAGAAAATCTAACTTACAAATTAAAAGAAAATACTTCTAATTTGCTTAGATGTTGTTTCTCTTCCTTTCAAAACTCAAAGCAAAATTTTCAGCTTTAATATTTCATTGTTGAATTATTAACTTTGTCTCAAAATTTTCAAGAATGTACAAAAATTAGTTAACTATTAGCATACAAAAAGATTATTTTAATCCAACTTAAAAATTGCTCAAAATCTAAGAAATCCTCATTGACCTTTAAAATTCAACTTTCAAGATCCTAACTCACTTGAATCTTACTTATGTTATATTTAAGTGTCTAATTGAATTTAATTTTACAACATACATTTAATACAACTATTCGCACAAACTTACAAAATCTCATTTATCAATTTGCTTCAAA